ACAGACAACGTACATCAATTCATTCTGTCTTCATAGTACGGTAAAAGGAAACTCTGCTTCTCTCAGTTCGCACACTCACATGGCGTAGCATGACCAACACAGTAGACAATGAAACCCGCTGTCATACTGACCACTAGTGTTTCATTAAACAGACAACACACTAATAACATTTTGTCGCACACGCATCAAATGCATTGCATGAATATCAGCTACTCTAACGACATCATTCACGAACGTGCACAATGCAGTATAGTAGCTATATGACTGACTACAGACACAGAAAAACCAATCACAAACAAACATACGAATACACTACTAAGAACGACATAAACACCTTAACAAATCAACATCCCATGTGGCCTGCACGTCGTACCCAACGAGTCCCTGAAATGGACAAGAGGCATAGCAGTGCATCCATTCAATCTCAGCCGCAGGAAACGACCCACAGTGAATCAACTATGCACGGGGCAGCTGAACGGCTACTCGCCATAACCAATCGACACAGCCCAAACAATACAAATACACATTCATATAAAGCATCAACATACAAAATCCACTCTATATGTGTGTACAACTGTCTCTTTACATACACACTTTTGTTAGATAAAATAAAACGAACATATCAGACAAGACTATTCTCAATCAGGACACAGCTTCATGTATGTCGGTTGTGATGACAGGGTTTAGAAATAAAGAACCTGCATGTGCGACACGACAAATTATCTTTCAGCCGCAAACAACTATTCAGCACATATTATAAATGCGATGAACAGCTCCACGGCAAGTCATCACACACAAATAACAAACCAACATTAGCCCACATCACCGAATCACATTTGCACAAAATCAAATGAATCCATTGCTCTCTCTCACTATATATATATATATATATATATATATATATATATATATATATGCAGAAAGGAAAGAGCATAGTGCACACGCACACTGAAAATTTGCATGTCATACATGTATGTATTTCTCTACCAAGTCTTTCCGAGAATGCAAAATCGCTCGAACACCACACACAAACTCTACTTTAAACACAACGATTCACTGACCAACGCAAAATCTATTTGTCGAAAATTCATTTCAAAACCACCATCAACATCAGCGCTCAACACATACAAGACTAACCCAAAAAGTCATATCTGTTACGCACAAGATAAATAACTAAAGTGACATGTCGTCTGCATTCGTACCAAACAAGTCCCTGGAATGGACAAGAGGCATAGCAATGCATCCGTTCAATCTCAGCCGCAGGAAACGACTCGTCGTGAATCCCATATACACGGAGTAGCTGAACGGCTATTCAACATACTATACTCAAACATCTACGTACACATAATTACACAACAAGTGAACAATCATTCAAAACAACTCATTCACAAGACACTTTCATATGCATATATATATTCATAAAAAGACAGAAATTCAAAACAAATTAATGTCTTCCTGAACAAAGTTAAATTACTCAGAAACACACACACACACACACAGACAACGTACATCAATTCATTCTGTCTTCATAGTACGGTAAAAGGAAACTCTGCTTCTCTCAGTTCGCACACTCACATGGCGTAGCATGACCAACACAGTAGACAATGAAACCCGCTGTCATACTGACCACTAGTGTTTCATTAAACAGACAACACACTAATAACATTTTGTCGCACACGCATCAAATGCATTGCATGAATATCAGCTACTCTAACGACATCATTCACGAACGTGCACAATGCAGTATAGTAGCTATATGACTGACTACAGACACAGAAAAACCAATCACAAACAAACATACGAATACACTACTAAGAACGACATAAACACCTTAACAAATCAACATCCCATGTGGCCTGCACGTCGTACCCAACGAGTCCCTGAAATGGACAAGAGGCATAGCAGTGCATCCATTCAATCTCAGCCGCAGGAAACGACCCACAGTGAATCAACTATGCACGGGGCAGCTGAACGGCTACTCGCCATAACCAATCGACACAGCCCAAACAATACAAATACACATTCATATAAAGCATCAACATACAAAATCCACTCTATATGTGTGTACAACTGTCTCTTTACATACACACTTTTGTTAGATAAAATAAAACGAACATATCAGACAAGACTATTCTCAATCAGGACACAGCTTCATGTATGTCGGTTGTGATGACAGGGTTTAGAAATAAAGAACCTGCATGTGCGACACGACAAATTATCTTTCAGCCGCAAACAACTATTCAGCACATATTATAAATGCGATGAACAGCTCCACGGCAAGTCATCACACACAAATAACAAACCAACATTAGCCCACATCACCGAATCACATTTGCACAAAATCAAATGAATCCATTGCTCTCTCTCACTATATATATATATATATATATATATATATATATATATATATATATATATGCAGAAAGGAAAGAGCATAGCGCACACGCACACTGAAAATTTGCATGTCATACATGTATGTATTTCTCTACCAAGTCTTTCCGAGAATGCAAAATCGCTCGAACACCACACACAAACTCTACTTTAAACACAACGATTCACTGACCAACGCAAAATCTATTTGTCGAAAATTCATTTCAAAACCACCATCAACATCAGCGCTCAACACATACAAGACTAACCCAAAAAGTCATATCTGTTACGCACAAGATAAATAACTAAAGTGACATGTCGTCTGCATTCGTACCAAACAAGTCCCTGGAATGGACAAGAGGCATAGCAATGCATCCGTTCAATCTCAGCCGCAGGAAACGACTCGTCGTGAATCCCATATACACGGAGTAGCTGGACGGCTATTCAACATACTATACTCAAACATCTACGTACACATAATTACACAACAAGTGAACAATCATTCAAAACAACTCATTCACAAGACACTTTCATATGCATATATATATTCATAAAAAGACAGAAATTCAAAACAAATTAATGTCTTCCTGAACAAAGTTAAATTACTCAGAAACACACACACACACACACACAGACAACGTACATCAATTCATTCTGTCTTCATAGTACGGTAAAAGGAAACTCTGCTTCTCTCAGTTCGCACACTCACATGGCGTAGCATGACCAACACAGTAGACAATGAAACCCGCTGTCATACTGACCACTAGTGTTTCATTAAACAGACAACACACTAATAACATTTTGTCGCACACGCATCAAATGCATTGCATGAATATCAGCTACTCTAACGACATCATTCACGAACGTGCACAATGCAGTATAGTAGCTATATGACTGACTACAGACACAGAAAAACCAATCACAAACAAACATACGAATACACTACTAAGAACGACATAAACACATTAACAAATCAACATCCCATGTGGCCTGCACGTCGTACCCAACGAGTCCCTGAAATGGACAAGAGGCATAGCAGTGCATCCATTCAATCTCAGCCGCAGGAAACGACCCACAGTGAATCAACTATGCACGGGGCAGCTGAACGGCTACTCGCCATAACCAATCGACACAGCCCAAACAATACAAATACACATTCATATAAAGCATCAACATACAAAATCCACTCTATATGTGTGTACAACTGTCTCTTTACATACACACTTTTGTTAGATAAAATAAAACGAACATATCAGACAAGACTATTCTCAATCAGGACACAGCTTCATGTATGTCGGTTGTGATGACAGGGTTTAGAAATAAAGAACCTGCATGTGCGACACGACAAATTATCTTTCAGCCGCAAACAACTATTCAGCACATATTATAAATGCGATGAACAGCTCCACGGCAAGTCATCACACACAAATAACAAACCAACATTAGCCCACATCACCGAATCACATTTGCACAAAATCAAATGAATCCATTGCTCTCTCTCACTATATATATATATATATATATATATATATATATATATATATGCAGAAAGGAAAGAGCATAGTGCACACGCACACTGAAAATTTGCATGTCATACATGTATGTATTTCTCTACCAAGTCTTTCCGAGAATGCAAAATCGCTCGAACACCACACACAAACTCTACTTTAAACACAACGATTCACTGACCAACGCAAAATCTATTTGTCGAAAATTCATTTCAAAACCACCATCAACATCAGCGCTCAACACATACAAGACTAACCCAAAAAGTCATATCTGTTACGCACAAGATAAATAACTAAAGTGACATGTCGTCTGCATTCGTACCAAACAAGTCCCTGGAATGGACAAGAGGCATAGCAATGCATCCGTTCAATCTCAGCCGCAGGAAACGACTCGTCGTGAATCCCATATACACGGAGTAGCTGAACGGCTATTCAACATACTATACTCAAACATCTACGTACACATAATTACACAACAAGTGAACAATCATTCAAAACAACTCATTCACAAGACACTTTCATATGCATATATATATTCATAAAAAGACAGAAATTCAAAACAAATTAATGTCTTCCTGAACAAAGTTAAATTACTCAGAAACACACACACACACACAGACAACGTACATCAATTCATTCTGTCTTCATAGTACGGTAAAAGGAAACTCTGCTTCTCTCAGTTCGCACACTCACATGGCGTAGCATGACCAACACAGTAGACAATGAAACCCGCTGTCATACTGACCACTAGTGTTTCATTAAACAGACAACACACTAATAACATTTTGTCGCACACGCATCAAATGCATTGCATGAATATCAGCTACTCTAACGACATCATTCACGAACGTGCACAATGCAGTATAGTAGCTATATGACTGACTACAGACAGAAAAAGCAATCACAAAGAAACATACGAATACTGTGATGTGAATGGTGTAATTGCGGCATGGCGAGATGTAATCAAAGACGGTACATCACGCTTCTGGGGTTTGCCTTCGCGCAATAAATAATAATCTTTTCATGCGCAAGTTATTGTGTTTGGTTGATTATATTGTGTAAATTTTATTTATGTACATGATTTTTTTATTTAATTATGGACATGACCATCACGTTACATACCCCCTCATGAATCCCGCGGCTACCATTGCTGCAGCCGTAGCAGCAGCAGCATCTCCTGCCGTACCAGGGTTGTGTCCGCCAGTTGTCTGACCACCAGTCGCAGCAAGCATGGCTGCTGCTGATGCGTGAGGAAGACCTCCAGCTAGTGCTTGACTAACAGAGGTCGTTTGCCCACCATTGCGTCCTGTTGCTCCGGAAGCACCCCCGCCGAAAATCCCAGTTGTGAGTATATTGTTCTACACGAATAATGAATTTGAAACACTATAAAAATTTTAACTTGTTTGTTAAATTAGCGAGTAATCGAAATGCACTCAAGAACTTGGTGAGCTAATGAAATCTAGGAAAATTTATGAACTTGAAGATACTCAGAAAAGGTTTTGAAAAAGTAATAATTTCACTATCATCTTTTCGGAATCAGTTTTTATTAGCCTAAATATCTTTCGACTCGCACGACAAAAATATACTTGCTATCATGTTGAAATCAGTATAACTCAGTAGTTAAGCTAAGGTTGGTGTACTCAGATAGAGATTCGTACATTTTGTGAGGGTTTGAAAGGTGGTTTAAAAAGAAATACAACTATTGGTTATGCAAACGAAGATCTGCTTCTAGGCATTTTGTTCTCTCAGGACCAGTAAAAATAAACTAAAATTAATTAGGTTGAATTTTCAACTTGACTACTCACATAAATACCAACTCCACAAGGAGCTGCTTAATTCCAGTTAGGTTTGAAACCACCCCGGTGAGTTAAGGTTTTCAAGTGTCTTAATTGAAAAAAGCTAAATCAGAATAATGGGCATTATACTGCTGCAAAGATGACCACAGGAGTCTAACTGTGCACTCAGTGGTAAGGACTTGTTTGCTGTTTATAACTCGTCTATCTTAATTTATCTTTGTCGTATGCATTTGGCAAATACCTCATTGAAAACTCCAACGTTTTGATTGCAGGCACCATCGCTAATATTTGTTAGCCAGGGATACGGAGACCTTATTATGGGAACTAACCAACAAGGTTAGTCAAATGAGAATTCAGTCACTAGTATTTGTCGGCTTTAAATTTAAGTATGAGAGGACTATGTGGTCGGATTAGAGTACAGGTGTTAAACTTTAAGTTACAAATATTCTTAGCATTTATTCATTTTGGACTTTTAGTTTAAGCCCATTATTTTATTCTTAGAACACTGAGCCACAATTTTAGAGAAAATCAGGATATATTGAAACGGGGAGTGAAGTAAAGGGAAAAACTCACATGGGGGTAACTCGTATTCGCAACATTGTTCCTACCACGGACCAAATTTAATCCAGGACCTTGATTGCCTACTCCCCAGCCTCCGTACTCAAGAGAAATAAATTCATCTGCATTTCGTGCGTCGTAATTCTGGCGAGAGCCCTTAGGTGGGGCACCCTGGGGGAAATTATGTAACAATGAGGATTACCTCAAGAAGTTCAGCTATAGAACGGAGACAATCAAGTACTTTCCCCACATCCCCAACCAACTGGATCACTCTGTCAGTAGAACATGGACACAGCATCTGATAAACTTTGAGAGTATGAAGACCTGATTGCTAAATTTTTCGATAAACGTCAAGGGTTATGAAATACCTCTCGTAATTCTTTGATTTTATATCCAGCCCTTCCAATAACACATCCAGCCTGGCTTTGATGTACAAGTAAACGTAAATCAACTCCGTCATCGCGGTTACTTTGCATCTGAAGAGTTGTGAACTAGGAACTACATATACATACCTTCTCAAGATTTTCTCTGAATATTTCGATGACTGAACCGAGATCGCCATCCAGAACCAAGACCCTTTAGATGGAAAAATATTAGATTATAATAGGTTAAGAAATTTTTTTTGGACATGAGAATATACCTCTCAGGGCCATTGCTATCGGGGATGGTAGCTTTAACGGAATACTAGTAGTACAAACAAAAGAGTAAGAAATGACCCACCGGGAGTGGACCGGATTAGTGAGTGGTGCGAAAAGCAGATGGGCAATACGGGGCAGGGTAGGGTGGGTTACGAACCATTGGTTTGGACACATTGGTATTCGGACGGGCCAAGAGTGGGGCAAAACCAGAAGAAATGAAAGAGAAAATACACTCACAAGTTAGGACTTAGAAAGTTAGAGGGGAGAAGGGCGAACAATATACAAGTAAAAAATTACCTCCTCGCGAATTTTTTTAATATTTTCACCTCCTTTCCCTATTATTACACCAGCTGCCTTTAATGAGTTAAAAATGCCAGAAGTGGACATACTTTGGTCGATATTAGGAACCGCAGTTCCACCTTTGGCCCTTCCCCACGCCTCATACTGTAGAACTTCCTATGCGAAGCCGTCAAGTGGAACTCGAAAATACGTTACCTAATCCCTCAGTCGACTGTACAACCAGAACTTCAATAACCAGGGAAACGTAAGGCTATGCATCAACCATAGCCCTGGGTCACCTAGTCAACAAGATAAAACAACTGTGCAATGTCCAACATCTGATAGACATGGCAGGAAAAGTTTGAATCAGGAAGCTCAGATTTTCAACAACTTAACCGCTGACAGTCATGTAATCTACATAGGAGAAAGACACCACACACCAAAATCATTTTAAGAAGGACAGTGGTATTTTTCCTCGCTGAGTAAATTCTATAGTTTTGATCGTTTGTTACGTATCAAGACTATTGTTTGCGCTTTATTTGAATTTATTTCAGTTAAAGTATTCGGTTAGAGTATCTTTTTGTTTCTAAATTAGTTTGTCATCGGTACTTTTGACTACTTTGTTTTTCTAATGTGTTTGTCAGTACTTTTGGTTCTAACCATCTCCACATTTTTGGTCATAGATCATTTTTGTCTCTGGGTACTATTGCACCTAACTTTTTTTGAAAAAGGCCTCTGTTTGATGACTGGATGGTGCAAAAAAAGCAACTGCCAACGTCCGGGCTGTCGATATCCCGGCATGCAGTGCGATGAGTGCGAAGGCTGGTACCACGAAGTTGGCACGAACTTGACTCCTGAGGCTTTCAAACGGTTCAGTAAAAACGCTTGCGTATGGCTTTGTCAGCAGTGATGTTCGGACGCAAACAGAGTGCTAACCGAGGCCATCTTAATGGTAAGTGCTGCAAAAAGTGTTTTAGCACACACATCGAACAGCACTTGCTCTGTCGACATGTAAATCGATGTGAAGCAAACTCAGGTGAGCTAGGAAACAGCTGACTCACGCCGACCAAAGGAGGAAAGACAGTCTCCAAAGAGGTCTATCTTAGCTAAAGACTCGAGAAAATAAGTTTCTTCTGTCCTCCGTCCAGCAGGAAACACCTAGAAGCCTCAATCGCAAGGCTCGATCGGTTTCTAGCGAGAAACATAACCTGAATTCCCAAGTCGACGACAAACCTCCGGAATACCACAGTATGCTTGACGCGACTGTGGTTGCTATTCCAACCATGGTTGATGATTGGGTACAGGTTGTAAGAGAGAAACGATATAACGATATAAAACAGATATCTACCCTCCCGAAAGTAGTCGAGAATCTGAAGACTGACCACAGTGACAGGCCAGTTGTTTTTCACAGAATCAGGTAGAGTGAAGGCTTTGAACCGAAAACTCGTTTTGAGCACGACATTATGTTGATAAAAACAGCTACTAAATCAATTTATGCCTCAAAATATCTCTGGAGTCACTTTGCTAAAGGCGTATAGATTAGATAGTCAAGCGAACTTGAAACCTGATCAACGCAGGCTGCTTAAAGTAGTTTTCAAATCTGCAAACGAATGGGGCTTAATTTTAAAGAATGGACATAAATTAAAGGGTTTAGTTTTTGTCCGTAAGGACTTGCCACTGGCAGATGTGTAAAAAGACGAGGAGCTGAAAAAGAACTACAACTTAGGTTAGATACTAGCGAACAGTACCTAAAAATCGTCAATTTTGAGGCTTCGACAGAGAATGATCCCGAAATCACTCTGGGTAAAGCACGAGGCCATTTAAATAGGCTCCAGATCTGTTACACTAATACCCGAAGCTTACACAATAAGCGATCGGAACTAGGTGTACAGACTGACTCTACAAAGCCAGACATAGTCTCAGTCACAGAAACCTGGCTGACACAGTCCATAGATAGTATGGAACTTGATTTCGAGGGTTTACATTAGTAAGGGCCGATAGAATGCAAAAGCGTAAACGAGGGGAAGTAGCACTATTCATGAGGAATTCTATCCCATTTGCCATTATCGACAGTGTATCCCATGAGAGTGAGACGTGTGAATTGGTTAGTTGCCTCGTGATTTACAAGGGATAAAATCTACTGATTGGTTTGGTCTATCGCAGTCCAAGCTGTGAGGTAAATAAGGTCTTGCTAAGCAGTCTCAATACTTGGTCACAAGGTGATTGATGTTTAATTCCAGGGGACTTTAACGTACCCATGGTAGACTGGGAAAATCTGCGGACTGAATCGTCAGATAATTCCTTCAAGCAGGAACTAGTTAATGTGGTTATCAAATGTGCCATAGTGCAATATATGAAAGAAGCGACTAGGCACAACCCGGACTCTCAATCCTCCTTACTAGATCTCATACTGACTCATTATGAGGATGACGTTACAAACCACAATTACATGCCACTCCTAGGCAAAAGTGATCACACAGTTTTAAATTTTGATTTCCATACAATTGTCAATCACAAGCACGCGTCAGCTCAATCCAGACCTAACGACTGGAAAGCAAACATACAAGATATCATGCACTCAGCATCGTCAGTAGATTGGACAATAAAACCAGAGTCCTCAATCGAAACGGCTTGTGACGTATTTCGGAATTTATACTTAAAAATTACCGCACCACACATCCGTTGGACTAGACCAAAGAGACCGAGAAACTCTCTACCATGATTCAGTAGGGAGGTCCGCATCCTTCTCCGTAAGAGAAGAAAAATGTGGGAGAGATTTAGGTTACTGGGGACCGATGAGACAAAATATCATTATCGAAAAGCTCGGAATACTTGTGCTTCGACCCTCCGTAAATCTAGAAGGTTGTGCGAATAAAAAGCTGTTAAGGAATTCATAGAATGTCCTAAATGCTTGTATTCCTATATAAACCAAAGGACAAAGAGAGGAGGAAATATTCCTGCACTATGGGGACACAGTACTGCTTCATCTTCAGTGGAGGGTGACTTTGGTAAAGCTCAAGTATTCTCAAACTACTTTAAAAATTTATGTACCATAGAAACACCCTTTGCGTCAGTCCATACAAATCACCCCACACAAACACTGAACAGAGTGGCCATAAAGGAACTCGATGTTTTTGGTCTGCTAAATAAGCTTGACATAAGTAAATCCACGGGGTCCGGTGAATTACATCCTAGGCTACTGAAGGAATTATCTAACTTCATCGGGAAACCTTTAAGTATATGCTTTAACCTATCCGTAACGCAGGGTGGTTTACTAAAAGACTGGAAGAACGCCATAGTAAGTCCTGTCTTTAAAACAGGTACGAAACATAAACCTGAGAAGTACCGACACGTTAGCCTAATAAGTGTAGTTGTTAAAATCTTAGAAAAGATTATTCGGAAGGAGCTGTTTAAGTACCTCAACGAAAGCCGGATCCTTTCTGAGAAGCAGCACGGTTTCAGAATAGGTCATTCTTGTCTCATCAACTTATTAGTCGCTCGTAAAAGCTGGTGCCTTCTTAGGGACCAGAAGTTACCTGTAGACGTAGCCTTCGTTGATTTCAGCAAAGCTTTTGACAAGGTTCCGCACAACCGGCTGTTATATAAGCTAAGAAATGTCGGAATTGGAGGCAATCTATTGATGTGGATAGAAGACTTCCTAGTTGGGCGCCAACAAAGAGTACGAGTGAACTCAAAGTTATCTAGCTAGGAAACTGTGCTCAATGGAGTGCCCCAGGGTACAGTTTGGGGGTCAGTATTATTCCTCTTGTATGTTAATCATTTTATTCGTTCACTATCACCATCGGTCTTGCTATATGCCGACAATGTCCAGGTATGGATAACGAGACGACGTAAGGGTGATAGCTTAGAACTCCAAAATGACCTCAAGAAATTAACTGAATGGTCTCAAACCTGGCAGTTGCCGATAATTACGTCCAAGTGTATTGTGATGTTTCTTGATCATCAAGGTACAGATACATACACGATGAATAACACTGAGCTACCTGTCGTCCAGACATATAATGACTTAGGAGTCATCGTTAGACAAGACTTAAACAGTACTGCAAACTGCCGTGCAATATCCACCAAAGATTTTGGAACTTGATGGTCAGTACGTGAGGCCTTTAGTCATGTCGACGCTAAAACGTTTTTGACTTTGTATACAGTGTTTGTGCGTCCTTAACTTGAGTACTGCATACAAGCGGCTAGCTCCTGCCTAAAAAAAGACAGTGAGTTTTTGGAAAGGGTTCAGAAAACAGCAACTAAGCTGATTTCCGGAATAGAGAAGATTCCGTATGATGCTCGACTGACCAAGCGAAACCTATTCCTGTTGTCATAACAAAGAACTACATGACACTTGATCACAGTTTTCAAACTGCTTAGTGATAAATTTGCACTTGATTTGCCCTCACTTTTCTTCCAAAACAGAGAATTGACGAGAACACTCCCAAAATATTCAAAAGTCCTGAACAAATTACTTGTCATCTGACTATCGACCTTCTCATCGAATCATCAACGAGTGGAATTCATTACCTCAACACGTAGTTAAAGCTCCATCCGTCGACTCTTTCAAAAGAATGTTGGATCAACTGAGAGACCACGATTGCCGGGATTAACACGGGCCATCAATCCTCCTGTCGTTTTCAAAAAGAAACTAATCTAATACTCCGTGTAACGTTTACTGGGGCCTCTGATGTGAATGACGTTTCTTTGATCGATCATTAATTCAGATCTGAGAGGATATGAAAATACTAGCAGATACGCCATATGTGGAGCTCAATCTTATCAGAAGCATCTTGATGTCATACCAAATATTATTTGTCCTCATAATACATTGATTTCTTGTGGGAAACTTGTTCAGTGCGAAGCAAAAGTACTAAATGAGCTCGAGTTTGATTACAATTCGGATGATTTCATATAAACGGTTGTTTATCCTTATCACGAAGTCACTTCTAATGTTTACTCTAGTCAATGTGAGTAATATGTTTTAAATGAAGCCATATCATTCATAACTTGGGGATATAAAGATCCAACATTATTTCGTGGGAGAGGATAGTGTTGGAAAATCTGTTCTTTAAATTCTAGATAGTGGTTTCGGTACACAACCGACACGGCGATTGTATACAATCCCAGGAACCAGGTTAGTCTGTTCCGATTTCGGTTGTTAATTCTAATGCTAATGAGCATATTCTAGATAATACATAGTTTTTATCCAACACACTGTCGGATAGACACAGGATGAACTTACGAAGACGTACAGTCGATTACAGATACTCAGACTCTAATTTAAGCTGTGGCGGATGTGGTGTTTAA